ACGTGTGAGGTCATAGGGGTACCCAGGTGACTCAAACCATCACTGCCCTTCAGCAGGCACCGAGGCAGACAGGTCATCCCAACGAGGATGGTCAGCCGTGTCGGAGCCCACCTCTGGTTCCCATTCCTGGGGAAGGCTCCAGAAGAGCACACAAATCAATGAGGAAAGGTGTGGACTGGGCAGAGGGACTCAAGTTGCCCCCTGAGGAGGCCTGTTGGATCCCCAGAAGGAAGTTTTCTGGGTCAGAATCAAGAAACTCCAGGGTCTTTTTTCATCCCACGGAGTCCGGAGCCTTTGCCTTGGGTTGGAATGGGTTTCCGGAGTGTCTTCCAGCTCCTGCAGAGGGAGAAAGGGTGGTTGCCCCGGGAACCCCTGTTTGCTGCAGGTGTTATGTGACTGATGCCATCTCCCAGTCTGGTATGCTGGGGATGGGTGCTGGGGAGGGGCAGGAAGGCGTCAGGGTTGGGGTTAGGAGGAGCCGCACTTTGGGTAGGGGGTACTGGGACTTTGCCTCAGCACTCACCCTCATTCCCGGTGTTGGAGAAAGGCTGCAGGCTGGTCCCCCCCAGTCCTGTGTGCCCCACTCCCTCTGTAGTCCCCAGCCCCTGCTATGTCATCCTGCTTCCTTTCTGCCTCCCCCTCATTACTGTCCTCTGTAGACCTCTTGCGATTTATTCGTACTGCCCACAAGCCCTCCTCTGCCCTGCCACACACACGTGTGCACACACACATACACCCGTTCATGCGCCCTTTCTCTTCCAGGACAGCCCTGGTTCCCAGAGCCCTGGGAACCTGGGGGATGTGTCTCTCTAGTTTCCCTCTACCTCCCTTCTTGTTCTCAGACATGCCCCTCTTACCTCCTATCTGACCTGCCTCTTCATGTAACCAGGCTCCATGGCCCATGGGGAGCTTGCTTTCTGTGGCTACCTGTACAAGGAGCCCCGATCCTATGGCCTCACGCCTGGGTGGCCCCTGTTTACTGATTACACATCCATTTTTCTCTCTCTAGACCCTGGTTCTGATGCCCTTGCCCAGCATAGGCCAGGCCCAGAGGCAGTGCTGTGGCGTGTCGAAGGTCAGCTGCAGTGTGACTCTGGGGAAGAACAGTAGCAGCCAAGCAGGGTAGCCCCACACATTGACAACTGCTCTCCTCCTCCTCCCAGTTGCAGTTGAGGAATTCAGGGTGCATGGGTTCTGCAGCCATTTCTTCACAGTTAGTTTAACCTGGAGTCACCCATTGCAGGAAGCCTTCCTGAATCCTGTCCTTGCTTCTTCCAGGCCTGGTGGAGATGGCCCTTGGGTCCCACTTTCACCTATAGGATTACAGGAATAATAAGTGACATCTACTCCCAGGCTCTGAGCAGAACCTGGGACCCAGTGGGGTTTGAGTGTGTGGCTATCACTTGGGGACTCCGGGAGAAGCCCTGCCCACGCCTTTCTTGGGCCTGTGCAAGGCATTGGCACAGATCTGCTTTTGCTATGGACTTCTCTGGATCGATGCCTCAGCAACTCACTGCTGCCAGGGAGGTGAAGCCCACTAGGCCTTTGCTGAAGGCCCCAGGCCCCACCCCAGGGTGAAGGGCTGGCTGTGCAGGGTGCACAACTTGCTGTCCTTTGCCCCCCACCACCGTGGGCTTCAAAGCCGCTGCTCAGACTGTAGAGAACATTGCAGCCTGCAGGATATGGTTGCCCATTGTGGGTCTTAGCAACTTAGCAAGGTCGCAAGCCTCTGGACACGCATCCTCTAGGATGTGGCTAATCAGAAGTCAAGGACATGGAGCACCCCTCCCAGAAAGGCATGTGCCGTGTTGTGTTGGTCTGCTCTTAAGTTTCTGTGACCGGGCATTATTCTCTGGGCTTCCTCCAAGTGAATAGGAAAGAATTTCAGTGTCAGTGTCTGTCCCTCTGCCAATCTCCAGTGCATATGAGCATCTTAAAGTACCAGAGAAGTCCTACAGTAAAGCTCCCGTTTGCTTGACACACCCCAACATCTTTGCAACTGATTTTGGGTCCTGAACATGAAAAAGACATGCAACGTTTTAAGTTTTTTAATACTCCTTCATTAATATTATATCAAATACCAGTTTGGAAACTGCCTTAAGAAATGCTCTCTTTGGAATGGAAAGAAGTGAATATATGAAGAGCTTCAGGGCTTGAAAAATAATCCATGCAGCCTTGTGGAAATCTGACTCCAAGTTTCCCTTCCTAGTTGTTAAGAAGGGTGCACAGGGAGTATTTTTGGCTTGGAGAATTCTTAGGCACTTGTTGCCGTTTTGGGAGGAACACAGACATAGGAAACATTGAGATATGTTTTTTGTTGTCAGCAGCAACAAACATCCCAGGCAGGGAACCAGGATGTGCAGGGAGAAATTTTGGAACATGAAGTAGGGGTCCCAGCTGGGGGCGGGGGCTGTTCACTTACTACCTACTCTACGGCCTGCATCTTAAAGACCCCTAGGTTCCAGACATTAAAAAAATGCTGGCTCCAAGCCCATCGGGGCATCAGCACCAGGCTTCTGACTCCCAGCTGCTGCTCTCTTCAAAGCGTCCTGGTTTCTGATGTTCACACCTAAACCCCTCATTCCACAACTGCCATGTTAAGTGCTCACACATGTGCCAGGAGAGATGCCAACACCTTACACCTGTTAACTTGTGTAACCTCCAGGAATCAGGAGCATCTAACTCCCCTGCTCCAGGCCCTTCACTGGCTCCCCTGCCTGGGACACTGACTCCTTAACAAGTCCGTCCTCTCCCCGGGGACACTGACTGTTAACCATGTCCCCCCATAAGCCCCCACCCCTGCACCCACACTGGCTCCCCACCGGGACAATGACTTCTCACCATACTGTACCCAACTCTGCACCCACACTGACTTCCCCTCTCCCTAGGATACTAACTCCTAACCACGCCCCACCACCTTTGCACCTACACTGGTTTCCCCTCACCCAGGACACTGACTCCTCACCATGCCCCTCATCCCCCACCCCTGCACCCACACTGGCTTTTTCACTTCTGGCCTCTATACTTGCCTTCTTTGTTTAGAACATGCTGCCCCACATCTCCTGGGACCCTCTTGTTTAGGCCTTCCCTGGAGAGGCCAAGATTTGCTAGGGCCACTGTACCAGGGTCCTACAAACTGGGCAACTTAAACAACAATTCATCATCTCAGTTCTGGAGGCAAGAAGCTGGAGGGTGCAATGTCAGCAGGGCTGGTCCTCCTGAGGCTGTGAGGGGCATCTGCCCCAGGCCCCTCCCCCAGCTTCGGGGCTTGGCTGTTATCTTTGGTTCCTCGGGATGTGGAGGCCTTGCCCTGATCGCTGCCTTCATCTTCGTGTGGTGTGTGTCTGTGTCCAGACCTCCCCTTTTCACGAGGACACTGGTCATGCTTGCGTTAGGGCCACCCTACTCCTGTGTGACCTTATCTTAATTCCATCTGCAATATCCCATTTCCAAATAAGGTCACATATTGAGGTATTGGGGGCTAGGACCACAACATATTGCTTTTGGGGACACAGTGAAGTCCACAGCAAGGCCTCTCTTATGGGTACCCCTTCCTGTCACCCACATGCAGACTCTGTACTTGCTCGACATTTATTTGTCTCCCATACTAGGGTGTGGGTGTGGTCTGAGAACAGGAGCTTGACAGTCCTTGTCACCTTCAGTGACACCTGTGTCTTCCCCAGGTGTCACCTGAAGGTGTAAATGTGTCCACTCACAATCACTAATTGAACTAATGAGTGAATGGATGAGTGAAGACAGCCAGATTTTGTCCAGTCACCACAACTACTGAATGAATGAGTGAGTGAAGACATGCCTGGAGCAAGCAGTGTTGTCCTCCCCATCAGCACTCACACGAGTGGAGGTTTTGTCCATTCATGATAACTACTGAAGGAGTGAAGACAACCCTGGAGCAAGCACTGTTGTCTCTGTCACTCACATGAGTGGAGATTTCATCCACTTGTGATAACTACTGAATGAATGAATGAACGAATGAGTGAAGACAGCCCCGGAGCAGCATTGTTGTCCCTGTCACTCACATGAGTGGAGATTTCATCCACTTGTGATAACTACTGAATGAATGAATGAATGAATGAGTGAAGACAGCCCTGGAGCAAGCAGTGTTGTCTCCACCCACATGAGCGAAGACAGCCCCGAAGTAAACAGTGTTGTCCTCGTCACTCATATGAATGACACACTGGAGTCCCCATCACTTGCACGAGAGAAGGTTTTGTCCACTCGTGATAACTATTGAATGAATGAGTAAAGATAACCTCGGAGCAAGTGCTGTTGCTCTCCCTGTGGTCACTCACCCGAGTGGAGATTTCCCGAAGGCTAGGGTAGAATACAGGACAGGCTCTCGTGTGCGGGTCATAAAGTGGCTGTGCTTTTGCTGATATACATTGTGGGTATGGGTGGAGTGAGAAGGTTGCTGTCACTGCGTCCGTAGTGGTTTTGGAGCTCATCACATGGGCACATCTCCTTACTTTTTTCTTGCACATTCTCCGGTCAGTCCTATGGGATGTAAATGCATGTACTGCTCTTGTACTCTCTGTCCCCACATGTGGGTCACTAGGCCCCACTTCAAGGTTATCGTCTGGGAGGGATGTAGGGCCAGTCTTAGTCTGCCCTCAATCTGACGTCCTCTGGGGATGCAGAGAGACAGGGCACCTGGGGAAGAGTCCTGTGAATGCACCTGGCTGGGAGCTAAGATAGAACTCCACACCTAACCCCTGCGCGTCCAGCCTTGGGCCCTTCTGTCGGGACTGCCCATCGCCCCTCTGCTGCCCTTTTCTCATTCACCTCTTGGGCCTGGAGGGTGGGCATCTGGAGACTGCCTGATCCTCATTATGCTTGGCTCTTGGAGGACCCACAGAGGCTGGGGCCTTCACAATACTGGTGGTCTGTTTCGGAGTATGAGTTGGGCTCAGGAAGCTGTGGGGTGGTCAGAGTGGCCCTTGCATGCCTCTTGTTGGAGCCATGGCTTCTGTGGCCCCGGGATCATGCCTTTCCGTGTGGTTGAGAACATGGTTGCCATGAAGCCTCTACAGTGCCCTGTGGCCCATGTGTCCCCTTGTGAGGTGTACATCCTGGGGTAGGGCAGCTTACTCTCTTGTTCAGAGACACCTTCATTTTTCTCACCTTGCCAGCCTGTGGCATCCAGGGCTTATTCCTGGGGCAACGTGGAACTTCTGCTGAGTTCTTAGACTGGGAGATTCTCCAGTGAGCCCCGAGGAGCACCCCTGCCCTGGGTCCAACAGCAGTGTCCCTAAGCTCGGGGCTGTGAGGGTCCAGGTGGGGTGGTAGCTGTGGGGAGGGTGTAGGAGTTTGTGATCAGAACACAAAGACCTGCACCTTACAGTGGCCTTTTGTGAGTTACCTGATCACTGTGTCTTTGTTTTCTTAGTGCATGATGGGGTAACACTTACTTGGAGGGGTGGTTGTGTAAGTACCCAGTAAACAATGTATGGGTGGGCAGATAAAATTAGTCTCCAGCCTCAGGGAATCACTTCAGTATGTGCTTACTGGTCCCTGGCCCAGCTGGGCGCTGTGCTGGGGCCACATGGGCCACAGGGAGGAACAGGATGGCCCCTCAGCAAGGGGCACAGGCAGAGGTCAAGGAAAATTCTTTTTCTGTACTCTCCAGTCGTGTCAGCCTCTTTGTTCTCAACTCTGTCCTCACCTCTGAAGCCAGTGACACCACGGATTCAACAAAGTGTTCTCCGTGGGGGCAGTAGCACCTGACTTCATGCCTAGGACCTGAGTGCTCAGACTTGTCAGACCTGACCCTTGGGGGCAGTTACTGTATGGCGTTAGAGGTAGAGGATCCAATAGGAACTGTGGCTGGTGAGATTCAAGGGGAGCAAGAGCTGCCACCCTGCTCAGGAGGGTGTCTGTTGGAGGTGTGTTCTGGGTCACTCAGTGCTGAGGCTGTACCAGCACTGTCTGGTCGAATGCTGGAGAGGAGGTGCCTTTTGCTCTGTTGTGAGGGTGAGAGACCATGATTGAGGAAAGGCCCGGGTTTGGGTAATGCCTACCTGCCCCCCTGCATTGCATCAGCACCCGAGGCCTGAATCCTAAGGCCCTCCTTGGGCTGACACATATAGGGAAGAATGCCCTGGAGAGTGTCCTGGCTGGGTGGGCTTGTCTGCATAGGCTGAATGATGCTGCCATAACAGACTGCCCCAATATCTCTTAACGTCTAGACATATCTTTTGTTCGTGTTTCTATTGTGTTAGGTTGCCTTTTTAAAAAATAAAATTTTGGGACCTTGTTATAGATGCAAGAAATTCAACATTTATCGTATACGCTGTAAATCTAACATGTCGTGTTTCTGGTCAAGAAGATTCTGCCTCACACCCTGGATTTTCCCTAAGTTGATCCATAAGTGCCACTCATTCCCAGTCTCAGTCCTGTTGTTAGGGTGTGTAGAAAAATTAACTGAGCATGACTGGTCAGGGAATTATGAAAAAGGGGACTGGCTTTTCTAGGTATTAAACTGTATCACAAAACTATTGTAATTAAAACAATGTGGAAAAAAGAAAACAAAACTAGCGTGGCACTGGTACAAGACAAATTAATGGAGAGTTCAAAAAGAGACCAAAATAAGTGTGGGAGTTGTGGAAACAGCAACATTTGAAAATAGTGGGAAAGATGGATAAATAAATGGTGTTGAGACAACTGAGTGTCCATCTGGAAGGAAATACACAGATACATACTTCATATCCTCCACCAAAATAAACTCCAGATGGATCAAATAATTATAAAAGTTGAAAATGCAAAAATACTTGAAAAAAACATGGGATGACTTAAAAAATAATCTTGGGAATGATGAATCAAAAAATGAAAATATTGATACATTTGAATTACAGAAAAGCACAGATTTTCCACCAGAGTCACGTGAAGAGAGAGCAGTGTGGGGATGCCAGGCTGGCCTTCTCCCTACACATGCGGGCGCCCTTGTCCCACAACCCTGCTGCTGCCATGTTTTCTGGGTGCTGGCACTATGCTGGGAGGGCTTCCACGGAGCTGACCATGGTATGCAGTGTTGGCAGCAGGTAGGCCAGGAGGACCTGGGTTCCAGACCCAGACTTGCTCAGTGATGCCCCCTTGCTTACTAAGCTCCCAACACAGGTGCTTTCAGGAGGTGGCATTCTGGGTGAGGACTTCAGAGTCGCTCTCTTCTCCTGGAGCTGCAGTGGATTGGGGTGGGAATCTTGTGCCCATGAAGCTCCCAGACAGATCCTACCTTGGACCACATTACAGCTGTTCCAGCCCCACTCCCTCAGTTCCGGGAAGGCTGTCAGACCTCTCTCCTTCCTAATGAAAGCAGAGGGTGTGGAAACTCGTGTCCTCAGCCACAGGGACCTAGGGTATGGGGGATGGCCATCTCTTCCACTTACAGGTCATACAAGCTTATTTAGTTCAGTGATTTTGCCTCCAAGAACCTTGCTTGCCTCATCTGCAAGATGGTGACAACTTTCCCTGCCTCCCAAGGATGTAGAGATCAGGTGAACGAGCGATATCATTGCTCAATGGGCACCCGGGATTTGGTGAGGGTCCTGGTAGTTCTGGCAGAGCTGGCTGTTAGGATCATACCCATGGTGAGCCAAAGAAGGCAAGGAGGGAGTATACTGAGACCAGAGAAAACTCAACCCTAGTGAGGAAGAAAGTCCTATTTGCTTACATCTGTGCAATGTGGCCCAGCTGTGTTCTCGGAGGGGGAGGTGCCTAATATGTGTTCCTGGGTTTGTGCTCCTGATGACTGGGATGGATGTTTCTTCACCCCCATTTTGCAGGCAGTGGTGACTATAGGACGGATGTTTCTTCACTTCCATTTTGTAGGCAGTGGTAACTGTGGGACGGATGTTTCTTCACTCCCTCTTTGCAAGTGAAGAAGCAACCTTGGGAGGTACAGGGAGGACTGTCCCCTGGGCTCACAGCAGAGACTCTGCCCCTGCCCTTGGACCTGTGTAGCCTTCTGCCTGGGGAGGGGTGGCTCAGGCAGAAGTGAAGTGGTCTGTATGGCAATTGGAGTGTGTGGGCAAGAGGGCTGTGCAAGTCAATTCCTCCAGGCCTGGCCACGGGAGAGTAGCACATGGGACCTTTGCCAACCTGCTTAATGCATGCACGCACACACACACACACACACACACACACACACTCAGTGCGGTCAGGTTTTGCTACACACCCTCCTCCTTATGGGTTCAGATCTTCCAGCCTTCATGTTCCTTTTCCTTCTTTTTCTACCAGTCTATGATTTGTACTTTCCCCCAGAACAGGACTAGACTCGTGCCTGGAGACCAAGGGATGATCCAGGTCCCCTTGGCTCTGACTCGGGACTCTTGGGTGCCACTGCGAACAATGCCAGATATGAAGCAGCCACTTGGCCAGGACACATGGAATCTAGGGCTAATCTGTCAGATTTAGGGGACAACTAGGCAGGCTTTTCTAGGATGCTGGAAAAGAGCCAATTCATGGCATGGCTCAGTTCAGGGTTCCTGCTTTCTAATCCTAAGGGATTGGGCACATACTTTTCCCCTTACAGGATAAATCCCTGTTCCTTGCCTTCATCCAAATATTGAACTATAACTTAAAGTAATTCCCCATAAAGCCCCATTAAAGCCCCATTCTCAACCTTGCATTTATTTGTCAGGGCCCATTTGCTTCAATTTGCTTTTCTTTTCTGTTTCCCTTCCCTTCCATATTCCTTTGTTGAAACCAATGAAAAGAGAAAAACTTGGAGTGGGGGACTCCTGTTTTATCTGTGAGGATAGACCAGACTGTGCTATGTCCTTAGGGCTTTAGTGAGCCTCCCTGGCCAACGTGGCTTTGACCAGCTGCTTGTTTCCTGAGCTGGCATCCCAGGTGCAGGCTTGCTGGGCTGGGGTGTGGGTGGGTATATCCCCTTCACCTCACTGGACCGGCTTTCTGGCACTGGTGCAGGCTTGGTTTCCTTAGCTCCCAAGAGACAGTCCTGTTCTCAGGAGCCGTACTTGCTGAGCAGTACAAGTGTTCTGCCTTGTGGAAGCAGAGCCAATTTGCACATCCTCAGAACTTTGGAGCGACACGGTTCTACTATCCTTAGGCTATTTGGTTGTCTGACCTTCATCATGTGGGGTGAAAGGTGATCGACTCGCTAGCCTTTGCCAGCTTGCTGTTTCTTCCTATTACTATGGTAACTGGAAACCAACTGCTGAGACATTGGGGGAAGCAGGTCAGGGAGCGTTTGTGACAGCTTCCCTCCCAGTCTGGAACAGAGGCTGCTGGGGTTACCAGTGCCACCCTTGGCCCACTCTGCTTGTCCTGGTGGCAACCCCAGTGACGGCCAGCTCTTGACCTCTCTGAGGGACACTTGGTGCTTGGTTGAAAGTGAGAGCTGCTCTTGCCAGGGAAAAGCCTCGTCTTCTTTCCCCATGTTGCTGTAGGAATCAGACTCATTAGAAAGCACACCTCTGGCACAGAGCCCTCTGAAGCCAAGTTTTAGTGAAATCTGTCCTTGAGATACCCAGAGCCGACATCTCCTGCAGAGACCTGCTTCTGCTTGGCCAGGCCTTTGAACTTGGTTCTGTGCCAGGGCCTCAGGTCTGTGGAGAGCACAGAGGCTGAGCCAGCCTTCAGCCTCCCACCTTTTTTTTTTTTTTGAGTTGGAGTCTCACTCTGTCGCCCGGACTGTAGTGCAGTGGCCGCTCCCGGCCACTGCAGCCTCGACCTGCTGGGTTCCAGCAATCCTTCCGCCTCAGCCTTCCAAGTAGCCGGAATTACAGGCATGCGCTACCACACCCAGCTGATTTTTTGATTTATTGTAGAGATGAGGTCTCGCTGCCCAGGTGGGTCTCGAACCCGCGGGCTAGGGTAATCCACTCACCTCAGCCTCCCAAAGGCGCGGGATTACAGGCTGAGCCACCGAGCCCGGCTAACCTCCCACCTTTATTTCAGCATCTTGTCTGATTCATAGGGAAGAATCGGGGAGGAGGGGAATGGAAGGAAAGCAAAACCTGGGCACTAGGATGCCCTTCGGAGTACAGCTTAGCTTCTGGCTCTGCAGGAGCGATCTGGATTTCCATGCACAGAAAAATCATGACCTAGGGCATG